CAGCGCATGCGCCTGCCCGAGAAATTTTCAGATGTTCGGACAGGAGCACACGGTGGAGACACAGGTATTAACCCTTTGAAAAAGTTTTTTTTTTAAATAGTTTTGCATATATCTACTGCTTGCTAGCAGTAGATATATGCAAAAGCATGCAAGGGTTTAATAACCCTTTAAAGTTTGCAACAGGTCGACAGGTAGATTATTTTAATATATTTCTCTTTTTAAATGCAAACGCCAACTACCAAAGATCTCTCAAGATGGGAACATCTGTGCATTCTTGCCACGAAAAAGGCCATTCTGATGAATTGGCTGCCACCTGCTCCCCCTTCCTTACAACACATCATAGTGCTACTTAACAGACTGATGTCGTTGGACAAACTTGATGCCCAATATAACTGCACTTTCACAGAGAAATTCTTCGCTACCTGTACCCCATTTATAGTATCAACCCTATCACCGACTCAGCTGAAAGAGGTGGTACTACTGTTCAAAGATACGGAATGGTACCATAATTAAATAGATCTCTGGGTGCCCAAGATGTCCTTTAACGTTCCCCTGCATTGACGTCTCCCAATTTGTAATTCTAGCTAGAACTGTACTTTTTACTCTGCTACTCTTCATGATATTGCTGGGATCCTTCTAGATCCTCCTAGCCTCGTCTCATTTCAACCTATTCGGATGACTCTGAAATATATTCAAGGTGATTGCGATGCTTGCTTGTTAGCCCCGATTCAAGCCTGTTATTCAAGCCTGTTATATTCTGTATCTCTGTACTTTTACTAACTGCACTTTCTACATTTTTGTACCTTTGTACTATTGTATTGTATCTCATCTTATGCTGTTTACCACAGTTCTGCCTCTGTACCCACTGAGGTGCAGACTGTTTTGTTTTTATGTGGAAACTTGAATAAAGACTGTATGCTAAAAAAATAAAAATAAAAGATTACTGCATAGTTCTCTTTTAACCTTTGCGTTATACTGCAACCTAAAGGAAGATTGGACACTGACAAACAAAAAACTGTAGGCCATCCCAGCATTACTCCTTCTACTACCAGCATACCTCGAATTTATAGCAAAGCAGTGTCGAGAGTATGATCAGAAACACAGAAGAGTGGGACCTTCTGTCTCTCAAGGGACTGAAAGAAAAGGATTTTACAGTGAGTACAAAAACGTATTTTCTTTCTAGTACATTGAGGGACACAGGAATTCTTTAACCTTCGAGGCCTCCGAAAGCAGTCCAATTGAAGGGTGGGCAACACAGCAAACAAACACTAACAAGTCAAAGAGAACAACAGAGAACTGAGCACTGTCTGCAGCTCAAAGGGCTGTCTGGAGGACATTACACCAGAAGCTGGAATCAGATGAGCAGAAACATACACTTGGTAGAACTCAGAGAACATTTAAACAGAAGACTACATGGCAGTTTTGTAAATCTGGGAAACTTCTGGGAAGTTGTTTGATGCAGAAGTATTCACAGATCTAGTAGAGTGCGTCTTTACAGGAAAGGGTAGAACCGGATAACGTTCTTGTTTGTGTAAGATGCCAATGACAGTAATACATGGATCCAAGTCTAAGAGCTTAAGAATAGCAAACAGCTTCTATCTCCATTTTCGAAAAAGTGGGTGCAAAGGGAAAGTCTTTGCAGCCTTTGGAGTTTTAAATGACCCAAGACTGGAAACAGTACTAGCAGAAGCAACAGGCTAACCCTCTAGTTCCAGAATTGCGTGCACTGCATTAATAAGAACTTAAACAGCCTTTCTTAATCTGGGAGTAATAGCAGTAGATCGCGACTCCTCAGGGGTAAGATCATCAGTCAACTAATGGAGCAGCTTAGAATCATAGCCCTGTGCAGCCAATGGTTTGAAAATCACAAATACAGTGGGCAAATCAAATATATAATCTGAAGGAGAAGGCATGAGAGCTTTCTTGTGGCCCTTGTGATTAGAGACAGAAAAACTGGGTTATTTTGGTCATAAAGTTTTGCATGACCATAGTAAAAACTTTAACTGAGAGGGGAGAGGGTACAGCCACACCAGGCGGAGCTAGAGAGGACTCCAAAGATGGAACAGACTCTACGACAACATGAGTCCATATAAATGGCTTACATTAAATATATGTATGATGATGAGACTTTTAAAGCTGAGAAACACAGCATTATGACTCCACTGGTACATACAAGAGGAAAGAGTCTAAGCTAATTCCCTTCTGTGCCATTAGCTTGGTAACATTTTCAACATCTGCTTCATTTCATCCTGTACCACTAGTTACTTACTCCAATTATAAGCAAAAATACCAAGTGAATGTACTATATTTAACAGTGGCGGACCGAAGGAACAAAGGGCCCTGGTGCAAGATTTTTTTCTCTGGCCCCATTTCCACTTGGGGGATGCCGGGATCGGATCTCGTTGCCCCCTCAGCCCCTGGTGGTCTCTGCACTAAAGGAGCCTACACTCTAATGTCCCCCCACAGTCACACACTATCATTATACATTTATATTGCTCTGACATATACTGTAGTGCTGTACAGAGAACACTGAGCCAGTCACATCAATCTATGTGCAGGAGGAGCTTACACACTAATGCAGAATGCCATCATCTATAGAGGACTACAAATCTCAGCAATGCATCATACAGCAATCCAGAATAATAGTATATGGATTTGGTACATACTCTGTGCTGCCGTTCTGCTCTGGGGGGCTGGTCTGATGTCTCGGGCAAAAGGTCTCAGTAGGGGTGCAGAGGGTCTCAGAAAGGGGACATGTGCAGGCAGCGGAAGTGCTGTAAGCAGGCGCTGTGTGGCTCCACAGAAGCCTGCTGTGTGGGGCCTAAAGCGGCAGAATCAATTTGAAAATTAAATTGCAGAGGTGCAGAAGTCAGTGTAACGCAGAGTGCAGCGGTCAGCTTATAATGCAGAGTACAGAGGTCAGCGGTGTAATGCAAAGCGCAGAGTTCAGTTGTATAATGCAGAGTACAGAAGTCAGCGGTGAAATGCAAAGTGTAGTAATAATGCAGATTCCCCCAATTCTATGCATTGAACATGGAATGATTAGGTAAACCACCAGATATAAAGATATTGCCACCTTTGGGATAAAAAACCCCACAATTAAATGGATTTAGATCTGACTGTGAGGAATCGCCGGTGCGTTCCAGTGTGGAGCGAAGCAGACGACGCCGCAGTGGCGTCTGTCTGCGGCGCCGCTGCCCTCCACGGTGGAATGCGGAAGTGCCGAGAGCGGCATTCGGCTCCTCCCACCCGCACTTCCGCATTGGGCCTAAAAGCCGGGTTGGGGGAACGGCAAGGTGTTCCCTCGTTCTGGATCTTGCACCCGCAACCCCCAAACGCCGGTACACACTGCAGCACTCAAGCCCCACTATTTGGACTGGATCCTGCCTGGGCTCCTCACTGCAGGACCGCGGCTCTTCTCACCTGGGATCCACTGCTTCATTCCCCCACCGGGAACCGCAAGTACCCTCCAGTACTCTGGAGTAAAGTCCTCCCTCCTATGCTATATATTATGTCACTTGTAGTTGAACTCTATACTGGATTTAAAGCATTTCTCTTATTTAACCTGCCACTCTGCATTGTTGTAGTACTGGACTGCTAGTTAACCCTATATTGGGGCTCTGGCTTGTGAACTTTACCAGTGATTGTGCTTACTGTGTCTGGGGATCAATAGCGTTCAAACTACTTACCTGCAAGAAACCGTAACCTAAACACTAGGGGGTATGAATTAATACCTCCCATTAACTCACTCCTGGAACATATATAATTACTCTTATTCCTTTAGTTGGCATATGATGTCAGCAACTTCAAACTCTCCGCACTGAAATTGAGAGTGACGTCTAGAGTTCCAGACTGATTGCCTTTCATTTAACGAGGACGATTCCTCATCCAATTCATTCTCCGCAGCTGTGGTTCATTTTCGCACACTCAGTAGGTGCTGACACTGACACACCATACTTTTCTTTACATTTAACTTTTTATTGTACGCATGCACATCAACATACAGTATACATCAAGTGTATTCAAATTCTTTCTGTGTGTATATTTTTATCCTTTAATACCTGAAAACGTCTTTGAGCAATATCACAGTACTCTAATGATAAAAGCCTTCGTCTAGTACTTTCTTTTTCTTTTGTAGTTTCTTTTCGGCCTAACATCCTGTTTTGTGTGCTCTATTCTGATCCCCTATTGCTGTCCTTTACTTGCTGTATGGGAAGTGTGGGACATCATAACCTCTGCCAGAAAAGTGCAAGTATATCCAGGCCATGGGAGAAGGGATCACTGAGGCATCAACGTAACATCCATTTGCTCTTTGGCACCACTAAATGAACTATAGGTACCATGATTTATTGGGACATCATTACTGGCAGCGGCAGGCAGGTCGAGCTGGGGAGACAGACCTGAGTAGTCTCTTGGCCTTACTTATGTAACAGAAACACTGAGGGGGTGACTGGAAACCCTAAGGAATGAGCGGCCACTGGTCTTATGAAAAGGAAATGAGTGAAAGTGAGCCCTGGAAAGAAGGAGAGGATGAACTAAGGGTTTACACAGTTGCTGCTGCAGTAAATAAAATAAAAAAAAGGAAAGCAGACTAGTGCAAGGTATGTAATGTAATTTACTAAATTGCAGGTTATTCTAGTCATCCAAATTTCTTATTTGTCTTTTTATATCTAATCACCTGATCAGTTTTGTTAAGGAAAGATTGAAATGAATTCAACAATTGCACAATAGTCTAGAAATTCCTTAAAAGAATTAAAATTTTGAGTGAAACTTTTTCCCCTTTTGAAAAGGTGTGTTTGCTTTGTTAATATTTCTCTGCTTACATTTCAATAGTAAAGTTAATCATTCTCAAACAGAATTATAAAACAACTGAACCACATATACTTTATTAAAAAAAAAGAACTTCAAACATCATCAGAACCGTCTAGTGAAGATGTGAAAGAACCATTACTAAAAACACTTTTTTTTCTATAGGTTTATTCCTGACTGGGGATCAAAAAGTTATAAAGGCACTTAATGAGTTAAAATAAGTGCATCCATCAAGTCTATCCACCTTCATTTCAAAACACGCAAAAGTTCTAAAGTGATTCTTGATTGCCGAACATCAATATTTAGAACCCGAACCTCTACACGTTCTCCAGGCCCAAGTCCAAGACTTCTCCTTCTCTTCTCCTTGGAGAGTTTATCCTCTGTTATAAATCTCATGGGAATTAGCCCAGCCTTTCCCACACCAATGTCCACAAAAACTCCAAATAATGTGGCATTTTCTACCTTCCCAGTAAGAACTGTTCCAACTTTCAGGTCTTCTATGCAGACGATATTGGTCTTAAAATCCGTTTTGTCAAACGCTGTAAAATGGATATATTTTCAATCAGGGACAGCTTAAGTATTTATTACATAAAAACAGTATATGATCATGGTGAAAAAGGACATGAATAAATATGGTTAAATAAACATATCGTACAGTGTTACATTATTCATTTCCATCAATAATACAAATGTGTTCCTCTATATAAATCATATTTCATTTTATTTAATCACTCTTGGGTTCATAATTAATATGGTGTACTAACAGTTTTTAGATACTTTGTTTTTTACTATTTTCTGTTTACGCTAATTTGTAAATTTATTTTTGTCCTACAGATAAGATATATTATATAAGAATTATCGACAATTGTGTATGTTAATCATTTTCACTATGCTCCAGCGGTATGGATCTGATAATGTTTTCTGAGATTTTCTTACAGCCCTGATAAAAATGAGTTATTATACCTCAAAACATGTTGGAAAACAACCTCTACTATCAAATATAGCAACTTTTGAAACTTCCTTCAACTAAAGGTTTGCCCAATTGGGCTGGAATTGAGGGCATGCCTCACCTGTATTACTATGTAGTTCCCTCACCCAACATATGTTTGTTATTGTTATGTTCTGTACAAGCGAGCCACCTATACATTTCTTCACACTTGATGCACTTTACAACTGCATCTGAAGAAATCATTACGTAGGTTGAACAAATACACAAGTCCATCAAGTTCAACCTATAGAGAAAAAAAATATAGAAAAACCTCCATACACACACAGAACCCTATGCCAACAGCTGATCCAAACTGCCCCCCCCCCCATAAAGTATGGTTCAATTTGCTCTATCAGGGTTATAAAATTGCTCTATGATCCCATAAGGCAATCGGATATTCCCTGGATCAACAAGTTTTTTTTTTTTTTTTTACTTATAAATTGTTAACATCTACTTATATGCTGTGTATTTATGAATGCATCCAGATTTTTTTGAAATAGTTCACTGAGCTAGGTAGATCTAGTTTCTGAGAGCCTATTTCGCAGTTGCACAACTTTCACTGTGAAGAAGCCTTTCCGTATGCAAAGGTTAAACCTCTTGTGCTCCAGACACACTCCCCAGCACCATACAAGCAGTTAGATTCCAACGTATAGAGTGAGTTTATGACAATATATCGATGTACTAAAGGGGTAGTTCACTTAGCAAAGTGATTATCACTTTAAAAAGTGTATGTTCAGTTTGCAATGTAAACTATAGCAAATAAGGTAAATCTGTGTTTACTATAAATAACCAATCATGTGCAAAGGAAACAAAGAAAAACGAAAACAGGATTTTTGCTAGCATGTGATTGGTTGATTGGTGGGAACACAGCTTAATCTTTTTTTCCTTAGTCCAGTGAACATTCACTTTTCTATTCCTTTAGAAAATAAATGGCAGTGTCTGTGTTGCATACCAACTGTCTTTATAGCAGTAGTTTATATTCTTGTACTGAAATACAGGTAATGTGTATTGTTAAAGGGCCACATGAAGCAGCAACACGTCCTATTGTAATCTCAACATAAATGAGAAAGTGCATTAGAGGCCGTCATACTGCTGAGAAATAATTTTTTTTTAAGCCACATCATTTCCCCTTAGCAGAAATCGAATATTAATGCCGGCACAATAGAGATCATAAATTCTGCGAAAGAAAAAAGCCTTTGTAGCCATCCAGGGAACAGCTGTAAAGAAAACCAAATAATAAGAGACCAGGCGAGAAGGTTGTGCTGTGAAATGACTCATTTTTGTGGTCAGGCGACCGCGTATTCAGGAAATGAATTCAAATCTGAAAATAAATTATATGCCATATAAATTGTGAATCAAGAAAACGCGCACTTATTAAACGCAGCCACCAGAGACGCAGGGAAGACTGCGGTTAGATCATGACAGGGCATACTTCTAGGAGTAAATGTTATTCCTGGGGAGGGCTCGGTGTACAATCTGATAAATGGGTGATTTATGAGCCTGGTTGAGAAAAAGAAATACACTCCTCAGCTGTGTCGTCAATCAAAATCTTTGTAAAGGTTCAGATGGAGAGGAGACGGTGTAAACCTACAAGGCCGGTATTAAAATAGGAATTATTATTTTTGTGTAAGGTCATGTTCCGTTTGAAGCTTCTTCTGAAAAATGACTTTACTCCGATCTGTGCTGCTGAGAAGATCCCTTTGTATATAGGAAAGACATATACACCCCGTATACATTATTATACAGTAGCTACAAAGGCCACATAAATACGCCTGTCTCCATGGGGAAAGAAATGCACTTAAGACACACTTCCAAAGGTTACAAAACATTCAGTATAATCATATAGGATGATCTGTATCCATTACTATATTCTACAGTACTAAAGTGTACCAGTTGACTGAGCAAAATGGGGGTATAATTTTGAGAGTTTAACAATAACTTTGCCTACTAGCTAATAAAAGAAAATCACTGTATATTATATAAAACAATACACATAATAAAAATAAATAAAATATAGCTATATATA